TGGGCTTGAACCCACCAGCCTTGGTGTATGTGGCTGGCGCCCTACTCACTGAGCTATGGGCACTGAGCCAGAAATGACAACTTTAATATTGGTACAATATTTATTATACCTGCTATCTGTTTAAAATTTTAAAAGTATAAAATTGCATTAAAACATCAATATGCAATTATTTTCCCACCACTTAAAAGTTTTTAATATATATTGAATATTCTGGACCAAAAATGTGCAAAAAGAAGACAATATCAAAATAACTTACAAATTTCTGAAACCCCTTACATATTAAAATTGTTATGACAAAAATATAATTTACAGTACATGTTTGCCATTGTGGTATAGATATGAAAATAGTAACCATCCTAAATCCAACCTACTTATGAAAATTCTTAGTATAAGAATGAAAATATTCAGATGTTTATATATAGAAAGTTAGGTATTCAAAAGTTTCTTTTGGACTACATTCTTTGGTGTTCACAAAACTGCATATATTATTATATGTCTATATAAAGTCTTTTCTGACTATACATCTAGTTAAAATTGGAAATGAAAAAATACAGATATTACTAGCAGTTATGGGGTATTTTGATTTCATGGTACCCAATTTTTATGGACAAGGTTTACTTATTAAACTTTGATATAACTATTCTTTGATATTTCTTTTTTTTTTTCCAGTTTTTGGCCAGGGCTGGATTTGAACCCACCACTTCTGGCATATGGGGCCGGCGCCCTACTCCTTGAGCCACAGGCATCACCCTCTTTGATATTTCTTATATTCCAAAAATTAGGAAGTAAGTTACATCCACAGGCAGGGAATTTAACTCTTGACAGTTGTTTATGATTCTTTTAACAGGCTCTTCTACAATATATGGAGCTAAACGAAAAGATGAAAAGCCTAGCACTGCTTAGATATCAGCTTGATAAACAGCTTGGGATGCCAAATGCATAACTAGAAATGGTATATTCTAATTTAGAGGAAGATGACAAGTGAATGAATAACATGCACACAAACTAGTAATTTACCCTAATAAATTAATTATTCACTTGCAAATATTACCAAAAGTAAAAAAATTTATTTTACAGAGTGGTTGGTTTTTATAATACATCAAAAACTGTAATGTTATACTTCCCTGTTCTTACTGATTATCTCATACTAGTGGTTGAAGTTTCTTTCAAATAATTTAGTTTACATTTAAAGTGGCAATACAGATTTTACTTAATGGACTTAAGTTATAATTAGAAACCAGTTTTATATACAGAAATTGCATAAATATAGAACTTTTATTCCTATTTCATCCTTAGGCTATGCAAAAAACTGACTAAAAATTTCTCATTTGGGTCTTTGTAATAAACATGTAAATACATATTTACAATGAAGATGTTTTCTGATAGAAAGTAAACAAAGAATTTTGGTCTTCACTAGGATCCATCATTATGTTTCCATTTTTGAAGATGATGAGAAATCTTATGTTCACTCAAATTTTAAGATTCCTTTATATACATAATTCAAATATTATTTCACTTGTATAATTAATGCTTCATTCTGTATTTAAATTTCCTTTAAAAAAGATTCCTTGATCCAATAGTAGGGAGCTTTAAAAGTTCCAGTACAATTATGTGCAATTTTCATCCCTCTGACAGTATTACAAATACTGGGTTATTTAATCATCATTGTTCAGATTCCAGGGGAAATTCTTGAATTGTCTCACATGATGTAAGTACCATCTTTGCAATATTTCATAGACTCCATTTGTTTTGTCATAGCCAGAACATCATGAAATCCAGTACTTAGTCCAGACATATGTTGAAAGTATGCCTCTTTTTCCACTTGAATTGTTAAATTATTTACTCCTGCATCTTTAATTATTCCTGTAACCTGTTATAAAAATCCAGATTTTTAAAGTAATACATTTAGTACATGTGTATTAATATGTCTTAAATAACTGATACAGGCTAAGTATCTGTACTGTGAAAATCTGAAATCTAAAACCATCCAAAATCTGAAACTTTTTTTTGGCAGGGGAGGGGTACAGAGTCTCACTCTGTTGCTTCAGAGTAGAGTGTAGTAGCATCAGCCTAGCTCACAGCAAGCTCAATCTCCTGGGTCAACCAATCCTCTTCCCTCAGCCTCTTGAGTAACTGGGATTATGGGCACTTGCCATAATACCTAGCTGATTTTTCTATTTTTTTGGTAGGGATGGGGTCTTAATCTTGCTCAGGCTGGTCTTGAACTCCTGAACTCAAGGAATCCACCCACCTCCACCTCCCAGAGTGCTAGGATTACAGGTGTAAGCCACTGTGCCCAGCCTGTGATACTTTTTGAGTGTTGACATAAGATCTGAAACTCTTGAGTGCTGATGTAACACTCAAAAGAAATGCTCATGGAAGCATTTCAGATTTCCAGATTAGGGATGCTCAACTGGTAAGTATAACATAAATATTACAGAATCTGAACAAATCTGAAATTCAAAACCCTTCTGGTCCCAAGCATTTTGGATATTGAATCTGTATCATATCTTTTACGGTTACAGGTAGGCTAAGATAAATCCTCACAGTAATGTTTATTATTTAGTTCAGCAAAATATTAAGGATCTTTTAGAAAGTCAATAAATTACTGACTTGATATTCATAGTAGAAAAGGAAAATATCTCCTGTTTCAAATTTGGTTCATCTAGAATAGGGCTTTAGGAACTGTTTGTCTCCAAACACAGCATATATACTGCTAACCTGACTATTATTGAGGAATAGATTTATAACAGCATAATTAATTACTGGAAACCAAGACAGACCATAATGAATTTTATTACATTAACTTCAGCTTATCCTCTAAATACTGAAACTAGTATTATATATGAATTACCTAAGTTGAAATTACTTTAAAAACAAAAGATTATTACCTGCTGTACCACTCTTTGTTCCAGCACATCAGATGTCACCTGTATATGAATTGTTCCTGCCACAACACTAGCAGAATGACGCCAAAAATGAGCATCTCGGTATGAGATTAATCCTTCAATTTTCTGTATCTGACAAATTTAAAAAGAGTTGATATAAATGGCTGATTAATTTATGGAAATGCTTTCTGATAGAAAGTAAACACAGATTCCTTGGCAAAGGACTATGACAGCAAGTGCAGGGTCTTTATACCCCAATTTGGCATTCATGAGTATTCATATCTCTAATTTTACTGATAAAACACAACTTTGTCTTTTTTTTGAGACAGCGCCTCGAGCTGTCACCTGGGGTAGAGTGCTGTGGCATCATAGCTTACAGCAACCTCCAACTCCTGGGCTCAACTGATTCTCCTGCCTCTGCCTCCCTAGGTGAGATTAAAGGCACCTGCCACAATGCCAGGCTATTTTTTGGTTGCAGGCGTTATTGCTGTTTGGCGGGCCCAGGCTGGATTTGAACCTGCCAGCTCTGGTGTATGTGGCTGGCGCCTTAGATGCTTGAGCCACAGGCGCTGAGCCATGTTTTTGTTTTGTTTTGTTTTGTTTTTTGAGATAGACTCTTAAGCTGTCGCCCTGGGGTAGAGTGCTGTGGTGTCATAGCTCACAGCAATCTCCACTCTTGGGCTCAAGAGAGCCTCTTGTCTCAGTTTTTTTCTGTTTAGTAGAGACAGGGGTCTCAGTTTTTGCTCTGGCTAGTCTTGAACTCATGAGCTCAAGCAATCCTCCCACCTCTGCCTCCCAGAGTGCTAGGATTACAGGCATCAGCCACCGCTCCCAGCCTATTCTGTCTATTCTAAACATTATCTGAACCTATCTAATATCCAGTGAACCAGGTATATGTGGTTTCTTTTACAGATAAACATTATTTGTTATACAGAGATAGAGTTAACACATTCAAAAGATAGCCTCAATGTTCAACATGAGAGGCTTGTTTAAATAAATTACTGACTACTAATATAATACAATACTATTCTGTCATGTAATAAAAATATCTTATATACATATACATATATATATATATATACATATATATATTTTTTTTTTTTGGAGACAGAGCCTCAAGCTGTTGCCCTTAGGTAGAGTGCTATGGCATCATAGCTCACAGCAACCTCTAACTCCTGGGCTCAAGAGATTCTCCTGTCTCCCCTTCCCAAGTAGCTGGGACTACAGATGCCTACCACAACGCCGAGCTATGTTTTTTTGGTTGCAGCTGTCACTGTTAGGTGGGCCTGGGCTGGATTTGAACCCACCAGGTCAGGTCTATGTGGCTGGTGTCTTAGCCGCTTGAGTCAGTATGTATATTTTTTTGAAACAGAGCCTTAAGCTATAGCCTTGGGTAGAATGCCATGGCTTTGCAACTCACAGCAACCTCCAACTGCTGGGCTCAAGCGATTCTCCTGTCTCCCCCTCCCAAGTAGCTGGGACCACAGGGGCTTGCCACAATGCCCAGCCATTTTTTGGTTATAACTGTCATTGTTTGGCAGTCCTGGGCTGGATTTGAATCTGCCAGCTCCAGTGTATGTGGACCATTTTTATTTTTTTGAAACAGAGTCTCACTTTGTCACCCTTGGTGGAGTGCCATGGCATCATAGCTCACAGCAACCTCAAATTCTTAAGCTTAAGCGATTCTCTTGCCTCAGCCTCCTGAATAGCTGGGACTACAGATGCCCACCACAATGCCTGGCTCTTTTTTTGTTGCAGTTGTTATTGTTGTTTTAGCAGGCCTGGGCTGGGTTCGAACATACCAGCCTTGGTATATATATGTGGTTGGTGGCCTACCGAATGTGCTCTGGGTGCTGCTGCCTGGCTGGATTATATTTTTTTCTGTCTTTAGTAGAGAGGTCTCCCTTTTGCTTAGGCTGGTCTCCAACTCCTGAGCTCAGATACTCCATCCACATTGGCCTCCCAGAGTGTGCTAGGATTACAGGCATGATCCACCAAGACCAGCCTGACATATTTTTGGAATAAAACACTTTTTAAAAAGTAGAATAAATTTTTTTTTTTGAGACGGAGTCTCATTTTGTTGCCCTTGGTAGAGTGCTGTGGCACTCATAGCAACCTCAACCTCTTGGGATCCAGTAATCCTCTTCTCTTATTACCTGGTTGAATTGAGATTTTTTTTTCTTTGAGACAGAGTCTCACTGTGTTGCTCTCAATAGAGTGCCATAGCGTCATAGCTCACAGCAACCTCAAACTCTCGGGCTTAAGCGATTCTCTTGCCTCAGCCTCCCAAGTAGCTGGGACTACAAGCACCTGCTACAACACCTGGCTATATTTTTGTTGCAGTTATTATTGTTTTAGCTGGCCTGGGCCAAGGTTTGAACTGCCAGCCTCAGTGTATGTGGCTGGTGCCCTACCCACTGAGCTGCCAGCACTGCCTGAATTGAGATTTAAACAAAAGAAAAAGGATCTCTCTCCATGTATTCAGTCTCTGTTTTATATACATTAAGTAAAACTGTTTATTTTTCATTCGTGTTACATATTTCTTGTATAAGTACTTAATTCAATTGCAATTTTTTTTATTGACAATACTTGCTCCCAGAGACTTAATTTTAATTTTTTTTTTTTTTTGAGACAGTCTTACTTTGTCATCTTTAGTAGAGTGACATGGTGTCATAGCTCACAGCAACCTCAGACACTTGCGCTTAAGCAATTCTCTTGCCTCAGCCTCTTGAATAGCTAGGACTTCAGGTGCCTGCCGCAACACCCAGCTATTTTTAGAGGGGGTCTTGCTCTTGTTCAGGCTGGTCTCGAACCTGTGAGCTCAGGCAGTCCACCCACCTTGGCCTCCCAGAGTGCCAGAATTATAGGCATGAGCCACCATGCTTGGCCAGCTTTAATGCTATTTTAAAAGGAAAGCAAATATTGCAGAAATTACATACATACCTTTTCTAAAGCATTATGTAGTTCTTTTTCATATTCTGGTGGCAGTCTCAGTAGTAGAACCTGACAGGCATCTTTAATCAGTGGGACAACACTGAGAAATATTAATATAGCAATAAAAAGAGAACAGAGGGGATCAGCAATGAACCATCCAAACTGTTCTATAAGAATTGTGGATACAATTACACCAATGCTGCCAAGTGTGTCTGCCAAAACATGTAGAAATACACCTACAAATAAAATATATCAAAACATTAAAAATTATGGCATATCTAATTTAGTTCTTTTATCTATTCTGCCAGTATTACTGGTACCTATTATGAATTACACACTTTGCTAGTGACTAGTACTTCAAAATGTCTCTAAAACATGGGCACTGCCTTCAAGAAGTTCTAAGTACAATGGTAAAACATAAGAACATGGGCACCTGAGACAGTGTGCGGAGTTTTATTGTGGTGTAGGTTGTGAAGTCTTCCTAAAAATCATGCTAGAACAAATTACTTATATTAAATGATCAGGATAGGCTCAGTGCTTGTAGCTCAGTGGTTAGGGCGCCAGCCACATATACGAGGCAGGTGGGCTCGAACCCACTCCAGGCCTGCTAAACAATTGACAACTGCAACAAAAAAATAGCTGGGTATTGTGGTTGGCACCTGTAGTCCCAGCTACTTGGAAGGCTGAGGCACTTAAGATGGTGCCTGTGGCTCAAGGAGTAGGGCACTGGCCCCATATGCCTTGAGGGTGGCGGGTTCAAACCCAGCCCCAGCCAAAAAACTGCAAAGAAAAAAAAAAAAGAGAATTGCATAAGCCCAAGAGTTGAGGTTGCTGTGAGCTGTGACACCACAGCACTCTACCCAGGCCAACATAATGAGACTGTCTCAAAACAAAAAACAAAAAACAAAAAAACCCCTAAGCCAAAAAACAATGATCAGGATAAACAATTCAACATAAGTGATTAATATTTCCTCTAAAATGGCTCGGCACCTGTGGCTCAAGTGGCTAAGGCGCCAGGCACATACACCTGAGCTGGCGGGTTCAAATCCAGCCCCGGCCCGCCAAACAACAATGACGGCTGCAACCAAAAAATAGCCGGGCGTTGTGGCGGGTGCCTGTAGTCCCAGCTACTTGGGAGGCTGAGGCAAGAGAATCGCTTGAGCCCAGGAGTTGGTGGTTGCTATGAGCTGTGATGCCCAGGCACACTCTATCCAGGGGGACAACTTGAGGCTCTGTCTCAAAAACAAAACAAAACAAAACAAAACAATTTCCTCTAAAATGTTTTATTGTGCAATAAAGATTCCAAAACAGGAAAAGAAATTTCCTTGAAGGTTCATAATGACTTGCTTTCAATGTTTCTCTTTCAAATAATATTTATCCCAACTACTACTATGAAAAGGACTGTATATTAGATTTTGAAGATTTTTTTTGGCCGGGGCTGGTGCCCTACTCCTTTGAGCCGCAGATGCTGCCCTTTTTTTTTTGGAGACAGAGTCTTACTTTGTCCCTCTTGGTAGAGTGCTTGGCGTCATGGATCATAGCAACCTCAAACTCTTGGGCTCAAATGATTTTCTTGCTTTAGCCTCCTGAGTAGTTGAAACTACAGGAGCCCATCACAATGCCTGGCTATTTTTAGAGGCGAGGTCTTGCTCTTGCTCACGCTGGTCTTGAACCTGAGAGCTCAGGGTAATCTACCTGCGTCAGCCTCCCAGAGTGCTACGATTACAGATGTGAGCCGCCTTATCTGGCTTTTTTTTTTTTTTTTGACACAGTCTCTCTGTGTTGCCCAGGCTAGAGTATAGTGGTGTCAGTCTAACTCACAGCAACCTCAAACTCCTGGGCTCAAGAGACCTTCCTGCCTTAGCCTCCTAATAGCTGGGACTACAGGCACCTGCCACAATACCTGGCTCATTTTTTCCCTATATTTAGTAGAGATGAGGGGGAAGGGTCATCTTGCTCTTGCTCAGGCTGGTCTCAAACTCCTGAGCTCAAGGGAGCCTCCAGCCTTGGGCTCCCAAAGTGTGAGGATTACAGGTGTGAGCCACAGCACCCAGCCTCACTTCAATAATTTTTTTTTTTTTTGCAGTTTTTGGCCGGGGCTGGGTTTGAACCTGCCACCTCCAGCATATGGGGCCAGTGCCTTACTCCTTTGAGCCACAGGCGCCGCCCAATAATTTTTCACTTTAGGGTGGTGCCTGTGGCTCAAGGGGTAGGGTGTCGGCCCTATATACCAGAAGTGGCAGGTTCAAACCTGGCTCTGGCAAAAAAACTCCAAAAAAAAAAATTTTTTTTTTAACTTTAATTTGGTAAGAATAATTAAAACTATTATTTAAACTATTTCATAGTTTAAACTATGAAAACTATACTCTTTTTTTTTTTTTTTTCTGCCTGGGGCTGGATTTGAACCTGCCACCTCCGGCATATGGGGCCAGCGCCCTACTCCTTTGAGCCATAGGCACTACCCTGAAAACTATACTCTTAACAATTTTTTTTTTTTTTTTTAGGAGACAGAGTTTCACTTTATTACCCTTGGTAGAGTTCTATGGCGTCACAGCTCACAGCAACCTCCAGCTCTTGGGCTTACGCAATTCTCTTGCCTGGAGTAGCTGGAACTACAGGTGCCCGCCACAATGCCTGACTATGTTTTTGTTGCAGTTTGCCCAGGGCTGGGTTTGAACCTGACACCCTCAATATATGGGGCCAGCACCCTACTCACTGAGCCACAGGTGCTGCCCTACTCTTAACAAATTTTTAAGTGTATGATATACTATTGCTAATGATAGGTATTATGTTGTACCAGGAGGTCTCTAGAACTTACACACCTTGCTTAACTGAAACATTATGCCTATGATCAGTAACTGCTCCTCTCCTCCTAGCACCATTATTTCCACTCTTTGATTCCGAGTTTCATACTATACAACTGAAATCAAGCAGTATTTGTTTGTGATAGGCTTATTTCACTCAGCATAATGTCTTCATGTTAATTTATGTTGTTACCTATTACACAATTTCCTTCTTTTTAAAGGCTGAATATTCTACTTTACATATATGCAAATATGAATGTTTTCCATAACAGATGATTTCAGATGTTTCTTTTAGCCACAGATTGCTTTTTAAAAGTCAAATGAGGCTCGGCACCTGTAGCTCAACAGCTAGGGTGCCAGCCACATATACCAGAGCTGGCAGGTTTGAATCCAGTCCGGGCCTTCCAAACAATAATGACAACTACAACCAAAAAATAGCTGGGTGTTTGTGGTGGGTGCCTGTAGTCCCAGCTACTTGAGAGGCTGAGGCAAGAAAATTGCTTAAGCCCAAGAGTTTAAGGTTGCTGTGAGCTGTGATGCTACATCACTCTACTGAGGACAATACAGTGAGACTCTGTCTCAAAAAAATAAAAAAAAGAAAATAAATAAAAATCAAATGATACCCGAAGACCAATGCTTAATACAATACAGACTGTTAATTTAGAACACAGTTAAGAGGTTGGATAATATTTGACAAAAACTTACCCCTCATGTTAGCATTCATGCCTCCGCCTGTGGATCCATGGCTGTGACTGTGCCCATGGTCACTGTGTCCGTGCATATGGTGTGAATGGCTGTGATCAGATGAGTGGCAGCTTCCTTGAGAAGCTCCATGGTTATGGCTATGGGCATGGCTAAAGGCACAGATACCAATAAGGTTTACTATCAGCCCTCCAACTGAGACTGGCTAGCAAAAGGGAGAAAAGAAAACCTTTAAATTTGTAATTTTTAAATAAACTTACTTAAAAGTTACTACATAGCTATACTATGTTTTTCTGTTTACAGCCTTGAAAGTATTTACAATAAAACTTCACTAACTTTATTAAGTCCAATTTTTTTTTTTTTTTGAGACAGAGCCTCTAGCTGTCCCCCTGGGTAGAGTGCTGTAGCATCACAGCTCACAGCAACCTCCAACTCCTGGGCTCAAGAGATTCTCCTGCCTCCTCCTCCCTAGTAGCTGGGACTACAGGTGCCCGCCACAACACCCAACTATTTTTTGGTTGCAGCCATTGTTGTTTGGTGGGCCCAGGCTGGATTAGAACCCGCCAGCTCTGGTGTACGTGGCTGGCGCCTTAGCCATTTGAGCCACAGGTGCCAAGCCAGTAAGTTCAAACATTTAATAATAATTTTAGAATATTTTAGAAGAAACATTTTAACTTTCAAATATCAAAATTGATAGGTAGGGGAAATTGGACATACTCTAATTAGGTGATTAAGAACCATATATACTTGATTCATGGTTTATGCATAAATAAATGATACAAAGTTTTGTTTATTTAAATAAAGAGATTAGGGTGGGTGTGGTGGCTCCTGCCTATAATCCTAGCACTCTGGGAGGTAGAGGCAGGAGGATCCCTTGAGTTCAGGGGTTTTAAGACCGAACGAAAGTTTAAGACTTGAACGAAAGCAAGAGCAAGACACTCTTTTTCTACTAAAAGTAGGAAATGGCTGGGCCTTGTGGCAGGTGGCTATAGTTCTGGCCACTCAGGAGGCTGAGGCAGGAGGATCACTTCATCCCAGGACTCTGAAGTTGCTATGAGCTAGGCTGATGCCATGGCACTTTGGTCTGGGCCACCCAGTGAGACTCTGTCCCCACACCCAAAAAAGTATGAAAGTATTGCTCACTAGGGCAAGTATACATTATACGTGAAATCTTGTTTTTACTAAGTAAGTTTGAACAATGTGTATAGCAATGATTATAATTATTAATGTATGAATTCCAAATACAGTCTTACCATGTCTTAAAAATAGGTAAGAGTTTTCAAAGTAGAAAATATACAATGAAAAAGCAAATATATAAGGGTTGAGCACAGTGGCTCATGCCTGTAATCCTAGTACTCTGGGAGGCCAAGGTGAGTGGATTGCTTGAGTTGAAGAATTTAAGTCCAGCCTCAACAAGAGTGAGACCCTGTCTCTAAAGATAGCCGGGCTTTGTGGCGGTTGCCACCTGTAGTCCCAGCTACTAGGGAGGCTGAGGCAAGAAAATCACTTGAGCCTAAGAGTAACATACTCTACTGAGGGTGGCAAAGTGAGACTGTCTCAAAAAAATAAAAGATAAAAGAAAAATATAGGGTGGTGCCTGTGGCTCAAAGGAATAGGGCACTGGCCCCATATACTGGAAGTGGTGGGTTCAAACCTGGCCCTGGCCAAAAACTGAAAAAAAAAAAAAAAAAAAGGCAAATACATAACAGTAATCTCCTGTATTTTTTTTTTTAAGGAAGTGAATGACATTAGCTTGATATAATGGTGCCACAATAATACACTAAAGCAGCGGTTCTCTACAATCCACAGGAACTGTATTAAAGGACTGTGGCATTAAGAATCACTGCTCTGGGGCAGCCCCTGTGGCTCAAAGGA